ATATTACTGGTTCTTGTTATTTTTAGAACGGTCATATGCCTTCGTAATCACCAGTTCTCCTTAACCAGAAGGAAGATGGTCTGATGACAATTGCATCAATCGATGATGAACCAATTATCCTACAGGATCTTTAATCGAAGATTCCTGTCTTCCAAACACTCTTCACTTATTACATCATCTTGGCAAAGATACATCCTGATCTGGTTTCTTGTCTCATACTCGTTGGCCGCTGTTTTCCCATTAAATTCTCGTGTTTGACCGTGTGATCTTCAGCTGGAATTAAGCGTAACCTTGCATAAATTTTTCCATCCAAATTTAGACAGATCTTGTGCCTTTCATTTCCCGATATTTGAAATTCCTCTGAAATTGTGGCGTTTTCTAATTATAGTTAAATTTAAAAATCGGGGTTGTTGTCCTGATATATCCATTTCTCCTTGTTTCGGTACTACTTTCCTGATGTGGCCATTTTTGCTGAAATTCCGCAGCGTCATAAAATTTCGTGCGTCTTAAGACACACTTAGTAGTACAATTTGAACTGGGGTTGCTACTGCCCCATCTTATCCCTAGCGGACTCAGCTAAAAATATAAGTTATGGAGAATAGGGATAATTATATGCTAATAATAATAAATATGATGTAATATGAAATAAACCACTCTTCTACTCTACCAAGTTTGATTAAACTCGGAATAATCCGTTTCCAACAGGAATACTGATTATTATCAAGATATAAATAGACTATCTTAATTAGAGGATAGCTCGTCTCTCCTAAATTTCTACACGAGCCTTATTTCTTTCGTTGAACTTGATTAATCGTTTTCCTGTTACTGTAGAGTGCATTTTTCCTCCTAGCGTTTCTAATACATACGTTCGTCGTTTTCCAACTTCTTTAATTCTGAACGGTCCTTCTGCGGCTTGGTCTAATTTTCGTTTATGAGCTGGCGCATAAAGCAATACTAAGTCTCCAACTTGGAACGGGGTGGCTAATCCCTTGTTGAATTCCCATTGTTGTTTCACTTTTTCCTGTTTCTTTTTGATAAGTTCTGCGGCTTCAATTCGTTTATGATGCAATTCTTCTAATTGTTTCAAGCGGTCGATTGGCTGATTTTCATAGTCTTCTTCGGGTATAGGATACTTCAATTCTATTGGTATTCTCATACGATATCCATATAGCAATTCCGATGGGGTGCGTTCCATAGTGGCTTGTACCGACGTTCTATAATCCCATAGAACAAATGGTAATCTTTCTGCCCATGTGGTTTTACGAACTCCCGTTCTTTTCCTAAGCATTTTTACTAAGGTTTGATTAAATCGTTCTACTTGGCCATTTGCTTGCGGATTCGCCGCTGTGGTTGGCGTATGCTTAATTCCCCACTGTGGCAAAGTCGTTTTCCATTTTTCGCTTATAAAGGCTGAGCCTCGATCGGAAATGATCTGCTCTGGCGCTCCATAAGTTGCACAGATTTCTTGGAGAAATTCTAAAGCTTCGTCTGTGTTAGTCGTTTTCGTCGCTTTTGCCATTGGCCATTTCGTAAAGTAGTCTTGGGCTACAATAAGGTATAGATATCCTTCCTTAGTTTCGTGCAGAGGTCCAACATGGTCTATTCCGATTATTTGAAAAGGCCGTTCGGCAATAATCGGATAAATGTCTTTCGGTTTTTCGGGCTTCTTTTCTTTCTGACATGGTACACACGTAGAGATATATTCCTGTACCATTTTGTTTATTCCTGGCCACCAATAACGCTCTTTGATCTTTTTGCAGGTAATTTTCACACCTAAGTGTCCGGCTGCTACTCCATCGTGGATGGATCGTATGATTTCTTCGTGATCCGGGCTTTTGATTACTAATTTCCATTTTCCATCGTGCCATTTATTAATCGCTCCTCGGCGTACTCTATAATCTCTATCGTTCAGTGCCTTAACTTTCAGTTCTTCGTAGGCTCTAGGGTCCATGGTAAGTTAATTCGATTATTGGCTACTGGGTCCGAAGGTAGGGTCTCGGGAAAGAGCATCGGCGACTTGGTTTTCTTCGCCTTTTCGATGCTCCATGTCGAAATCGTATTCCATTAATTCCATGGCCCATCTACCCGTTCGTCCTTCAGGTTCGCGGTACTGAATGATAGGGAGTAACGCCGCATGGTCCGTAACGATGGTAAATTGTCTTCCTCTAAGATACCGTTGGAATTTCTTGAGTGCCCATTTCACCGCTAAGCCTTCACGATGCGTCGCGCTATAATTTCTTTCTGCTGGGCTTAGGGATTTCGAAGCGTATCCTACCGCGTACTCTTGTTTCGTTATCGGATCGTATTGTGCTAGAACCGCACCTAATCCGAAATTGGATGCGTCGGTGATAAGAGTAAAGTGTTCCTTCATGTTCGGGTATGCCAAAACTGGTGACGTAATCAGCGCATCTTTGAGTTGTTGCATCGCTTCGTCTTGTTCAGTGGTCCAAACGAATTGCTTCCTTTTTCCAAGTAGTTTTTGTAATGGTGCCGCCATTTCTTGATAGCCGTTGATAAACTGAGCATAATAGCCAGTCATGCCCAGAAATTGTTTGATTTGCGTCGTATCTTTTGGGGTGCCGTATTGCTCTACCGCGTTCACTTTCCTATCATCTACTATTAATCCTTCTCTACTAACTACATGTCCTAAAAATTCTAATTTCTCGCATCCGAAATAACACTTCTTTTTCTTGAGCTTCAATCCGTACTTTCTGCATTTTTCAAAGGTCTGCCTTAAATGGTCCATGTGTTCTTCGAACGTCTGAGAATAGATGTTGATATCATCAATGAATACTGCCATGTGTTTGTCTATCTGATCGCCGAATATGAGATCCATCATTGCTTGGAATGATGCTGGCGCGTTCTTCAATCCAAATGGTAATCGTAGAAATGAAAAGAGTCCAAGATGGCACGTAAATGTCGTTTTGTGGATATGTTCTTCGTACATCGGAACTTGCCAATA